TTCCTCATTGTTCGGTTTTTCTTTCTCCTAACCGAGCGGCTCGCGCCGGCCGCCTTCGGCGGGCGCAGTCAATACGGGCGCCAGCAACGCTGCGAGCTGGTCTGCCGCGTCCAAGCACGTGTCACGCTGGCGGCCGCGGAAAGTCTCAGGAGGAATCACGGGGAGGGACGAGTGAGCAAGCACTTGTATCAGCAACAACGCGTGGAGACTCTCCGCGAGGCGATGGAGCTGGCCAAGGGTTGCCTCGGGAACACGCGTCTGCGGAGGCTGAAGTGCCCCCGTCAGGAACAGAAGCGGCTCATCCGCACCAACGTGGTGAGAATACTACGCCGACGAGCCACCAGCCGCAGGAACAAACTCCACACCCGCGACAGGCGGAACTGGCGGCAGATGAAGACGAGAACTGGGGGGAGGTGCCAAGGCGGCGGGAGCAGGAGCAGGCGGGCGGTGAACCGGAGGCGGAGGTGCTGCAGCAGGCGGCGGACTCAAGGGGAGCATAGCCTGACGAGGGGCCTCAAGTGCGGGCGAGGCGCGAATCGTACTACTCCGGCTCAGCGCAGCCCTCTCCTCACGCACCGCCCGCGAGACCTCCCGCTGTAGGTCAGCCATCGTCACCGGCGGCCGGTACCCCCCACCACCGCCATGCCCGCGGGGACCCCTCCAGTCCACCTGACCACCAGGGTGAGCCGGCCAGTGCGGCTGCTGCTGGTAACGCCGTGGGGAGTCGCGCCGCCGACGAGACGACTTGCGCTCCTGGTAAGGAGCGGGGGAGTGGGGGCAGAGACAAGCGGCGGTCAGGCGACGGAAGGCGGGACGGCTGACCCGCCGGGGCCATCGGCGCCACAGCAGGCGCGGGCTGACCAGTCGCAGAGGGCGCAACAAAGGGAGCCGGGCCGCCAGTGGTGGCGGACGCCTCCCTCGGGGACGAAACAGAAGCAGGTGCAGGCACGCCGGGGACAGCAGCGGGCGGTGCATCGGGCACGACAGGAACAGGGACCGGGGGATCAGCAGTCGGAGCGGAGGGAGCCAGGGGAACAGGAGCGGCAGCCGGAGCAGAGGGAGCCAGGGGAACGGGAGGGGCAGCCGGAGCGGAGGGAGCCAGGGGGGCAGGAGCAGCAGCCGGAGCGGAGGGAGCGGCAACAGGTTCGGGCCGGACAGGGGCAGACACACCATCAGGAGCATCGGGTGCGTGGGGAGGAGGCATTCCAGAGGCTGCTGTCGCGGGCTTCGGAGCCGACGGCAGCGGGGGCTTCATCACCGTGGTCCCCTTTCCGCCCTCAGCCGGGGGTTTGGCGACCGCAGCTGACGCCACGACAACGCACGCTGGCGACAGCTCATTCCCCCCAGCAATCACCATCTCGAGCAAGAGGCGGTCCCGGCCGGCAGGCAACAAGCGGATTAGGCGGAGTTCCAGAGAACGGGTTCCAGGCGGCTGGACACAGGGCTTTAAACGAGCTGGAAGAGACTAATGAAGCTGAAGAAATTAGGGATCTTACTTATAGGGAGGAGTTAGTCCCTACGGAGGAGTGGGAGAGCGATGTGGATAGCGAAGGGAATCGAGACACAGCTGGGAGAGCCAGCACGGAGAGGGAAGCCATACACGTAAACCCCCGAGGGAACAGAGAAGAAGGAGGGCCGACCGATGGCGATCGTACGGCTACAATTCCAACCCTTGAACGCACCGCGAGGCCAAGCTGCGCACAAGGAATTCGTCCAACTAGTGCCGAATCGCCGGTTCGACAGAGCCCGCTAAACCCCCGATATTTTTCGCCAGAAGAGTTGGCGAGGCGAGCAGACAAGTTCGCTGGGATCGCGAACTGGGACATTGGGGCACTCTACGGCAGCCGACAACCAATTCTGTCACGACGTTTACCGCCAAATCTGTGTCAGCTGTTTTCGCTAGCGCTGCTAACCCCGCTCCTTCACCTTTCGCGAAACCCTGACTCCGAATCAGGATGGCGCCTGCTGCTTTTCCTCCCGCGCCTCACACTTCGCCAGACCTCGCCCAAACGCCCGAACTGGCCCCAGATCAAAGCGCGACTCCGCTCATTCCAACGTGGCGAATGGGAGCGGTTATACACTGAGGCCGTGGAAGCAGACAACACCCCGCCTCCGTCACGACACCAACCTGACGACACCGGGGTGATCAAACGTGCGGAAGGCTTGGCGAAGCGGGGCAGTTTGCGAAGGGCTGTGCTGGCACTAGAGTCAGCGCCGGTCTGTACACCCAGCCCAACAATTCTAGACGAACCGCGTCAGAAACACCCGCCAGCTGGACCCGAAGCGCTGACTTGGCCGGCCACGCAAGCGCCAGGTCTGACCATCCCTCACACGGAATTCGTCAAACTGCTCGGCAGATGCGAAAACGGGGTGGGCGCTGGACCGTCAGGCACAACCTTAGAACATTTACGCGACGCGGCAGTAACCAACGCATCTGTCTGCACCCACCTGCACGCCTTGGTGAACACTTTGCTGACCGGAAAATTACCGCCTGCAGTGGCTGACCTGTTGACATCTTCGCGCCTCATCGCCCTGTCCAAGCCGGGAGGAGGACACGGCCAATCGCAATTGGCGAGTGTCTGACTCGGTTGGCATCGAAAGCGGCCCTGACAATCATGAGCCCAGCAGCACGCGCATATTTTCTGCCACTACAGTACGGGGTGGCAGTGCCAGGTGGAGCAGAGGCAATCATTCATGCCGCCCGAGCTTTTCTGGACGCACGCCCTGACAGCGCCATACTGCAGACCGACATTTCGAGCGCATTCAACAGCATCTCGCGCCAGGCGATCGCAAATGCGTTACACGACCCCAACCTCTCGCCACTGCTCCCGCTAGTCAAATTGACCTACGATAACCCGTCGCAGCTTTACTTGGACTCGAAATTCGAATGCGAACCCCTAAAAAGCGAACGGGGAGTTCGGCAGGGGGAACCTCTCGGCCCCCTGCTCTTCGCAGCCGGAATACACCCTGCGCTACGCGACACAGCAGCTGCACACCCACAAGTCCTATGCCTTGCCTACGTCGACGACGTCACATTCATGGGGGAAACTTGAGAAACCGTAGCCGCTTTCACTCATTTCACCTTTGGCCTCACACGCATCGGGCTCGCGCACAACCCCGGGAAATGCGCAGCCTGGCAACAAAACTCCGCGTGCACGCCCAACTTACCACCCGGCGTGCCGTTCAGAGCTGAAGGGGTCCGTCTCTTGGGAAGCTACTTGGGCCCCCCCGCTAGCACTGCTGAATTCCTATCGACACAGCTAGACGATATGGCTAAGCCACTGCCACTACTAGAGCGCACAGGTCCCCAGGTGGCCTCCCTCCTACTGACTCGCTGCATTTCTCGGCGCGCGGCGTATCTCATCCGTACAATGCCCATCAACCTCTTGGATCGTGACAAATGGTCCCAGTGGGGCCGGGACCTCCTGGCCACTCTTCTTAACGCCTGCAACATCCGAGTCCCCTCCAGCACCTCGGAGCTAGACCGCGTATGGGCACAGGCGTCACTTCCGCCGTCCCTTGGTGGAATTGGCCTCACGGAATCGACCGTAGAAGGAGTTTATGGGTTCCTCGCTAGCTACTGCCAGGCTGCGCTCTTCATAGATTCACTGGCCCCAGGAACAGACGACATCCTGGCGACGGTTCGTGACCACATGCTGCTGCAGCGTGACGCCAACACACCTCTTCACGCATGGCTGGCAGAATGTGAATCGTCTCTGCCTGCTGATGGCCGCGAGGTGCTAGAGAAGGAGCGCCTGGAGCCGAAGGGTATCAGGCTACAGCATGCACTGGCACTCAAAGTGCAGGGAAGCAGATACGCGGTCCAAGTAAGGGAAACCAGGCGCATGAGACTTAATCCACTCTTCGGGCATACGCAGAGGATGTTCTCCCTTACTGGCTACGGCAGTGGCGACTGGCTGACTGCCATCCCCATAGCGACCACGCGGTGCGTTTCAGACTAGGCCTCCCTTTCTCAACGCCCAAAAACTGCGACTGCACAGAGCATACCGCCATCCCCAACCCACGTCTTCCCAATCACTTGTTCAGATGCGGGACAGGCAAGCATCGCATCAACACTCACAATGAGCTCCGCGATGCGTGCATCAGCATGGCTGAGGACGAGGGGTTCATTGTGCATGGGGAAACAACGGAATATTGCCCGGTTGATGAACAAACTGCCGATTTTACCATGAGGGACAGGAGCAGCGGGGCGGTGTATGTGTGTGACGTCACCATTACCGATCCCATCAGCAATAGGGACCCGGAGGCGCTTAAGGGAAGGGGATGGGCGGCTCGGGAACAGGCTGACAAGAAGATCAAGCACTACTCTAATCTCCCGGATACGGTGCGCTTTTTCCCCTTGGCGGTCGAGACCGATGGCTGCCCGTGTGCGGAGGTGCCGGTTTTCCTGAAACTGCTAGCAGACACAGCAGCTCGGCGACACTTCAACGCCGACTCACAATCGTTTCATGCTGCCAAGTTCTTGCATCAGTTTCGGCAAAGATGGTCAGTCTCCCTCCTAAGGGCTCAATCTGTCGGTTACCTTATCAAGTCTTGCGAGGCAGCCGCGGCAGAAAACCCACCTGTGGGTGGGGTGGGGGCGGAATTTCGCTTAGGAGATTGTTTCACGGTGCTTGAGCTCTTGGTGGAGCTCTAGATTAGGGCTGATGTGCTAGGAAGTACTTGTTTGCTTGCATAGCTGCCATATGATTGCCACTTACCAGTAGTTTGTTGCTTGTACTTTGCCTATATTAATACAAGGACCATTAGAGAGAGGTTGCTTGTACTTCTTCTTTGCCACTCTCAGGCTCATTGTTCGGTGAGTTCATTCTCACTGCGAATCCGGGCGCGGAGGGAGGCAAGGAGCACACAAAATCATCACTATCAGTACATACAACATGGAGCACTAGCTACGCCCAGGGCTAGCGGGCGAGGTAAGTAGAATAGGAGGAGGATGGGGGCCAAGAAGGCGTCCGGCAAGGCCAGGCAAGGACGGGCCCCTACACGCGGTTCAACACATAAAAACGCCGGCGGATCCACCGGAGCAAGGACGCGAGCGCAGGCACGAGCTGCAGGGGCGACTCTTCGGCAGCCGTGGCTACCCTGCGGAAAGCTCTCGCGCCCGGCCCCTCGTCCTCGTCAGGGTGCTCGGGCTCGAGGGGCATGCGGAGGAGCCTCCACAAGCCCTGAGCCGCGGCCGCACGGACAACACCCTGCTGCTGCTCGTTCAGCTGCGGATCTCGCAAAACATAGTTCCGCCCCTGAAGACCTTCATGCAGCTGCTCCAACACCGTCGCCACATGGGAGAGACACTCGCCGACACCCAGCATGCGACGCTCCCAGCGGAGAATGTCGACAACAAAGTTGTTCCGGACGTCCCAGTCACGACCCCACGTGGTGCCAGGCTGGGGAGGAGACTCCCACAGCTCTCCGTTCCACCACTTCTCGTCGTCTTCAGGATCAGGTGCGTCAGGCAGTAGCGGAGGAGACTGGGCACGAGGCGGAGGAAAGCGAGCGGGGAGAGCGGGGTCGGCTGGTACAAGAGGATGCTGCCGCTGAGGAGGCTCAGGGGGGGGAGGAGCACCGTCAACCTGGGGAGCAGGACGAGGAGGCACGAGAAGTGCCTCCGCAAGTGACAACGACGCCGGAGACAGGACTGGCGGAGGAGGGACAGCGGGCGGAGCCGACAACGACCCCGATGCCGAGGCAGGAGGGTCTACCAGAGGGGACGAGGCGGTAGGAACAGACGACTGCTGCTGGGAGGAATGCTGATGAGAGGACTGCTGAGACGGCACAAGTGGAGGGGGCGGCGGAGGAGGCTGAAAAGAGGGCGCCTGAAGATGCGGACCGACAATCTGCCGGTGGAGCACAGGCGGAGGGCGAGGCGGATGGCGACGCCGAAAGGAACCACCGCGGGCCCGCAGATGAGGGTGGGTACATCCGCGAGGCGAGCGATACACGGGCTCACGCGCGCGAGAGGGTGTTCCAGCCCCCTCGCGCGAGACCAGGGCAGCGGCGGCTCGGAGTAGGACTGGCGCCAGCTCGCCCGGGTCCTCTGGCGGGTTGGGAACATCAGACGGCCTCGCCGCCCTTTCCCGCCTCTGGCGCTTGCCCGTCATCGCCGCAACGGCAAGCCGAACGAGAGCAGTTGGAGGTGGAGCAAAGGGTAGCAGAGCAGGCGGATCAGGCGGCCCACGAGGAAGACGCGCTGTTGGCGGCGCAAGCCGCAGACCGAAGAAGGAGGGCAGGAACGAGCCGGCAGAGGGCGCTCCAGGAAAGAGCAAACGAGTTTGCCGCAGGTAATCACCCGCGAAACACGGCGGCAAGAGCGGCCACAAGAGGCCGCGGACGTGGGCGAGACAGGGGCGGGCGCGTGGGAGAGCTGGTGAGAGCCGTGGCGAGGGAGAAAGCCAGATCGGGAAACTGGCGGGAAAGACACGGGAGGCCAGATGAGAATGGATGCGAACCAATGAATGAGTCTGCTGGGGAAGAGGGGTCTGAATATAGGGAGGAAACTGAAGAGGAGTCGGAGGATATCTCGGTCGACGTAGAAGAGGGAATCCCCCCAAATGGGGAAGGAGGGAGACGACGTGGAGGCAGACACGGGCGGCATGATAGAAGGGAAAACGGCCAAGGGGTGGGACTAGAGGAACCGAGAGCCGACGAGGCTGCCGGCAAGGAGAGGGCACCACTGAAGATTGCAGAGGACGATGACGCGTGGCACAAGGTGTTGGAGTGGGATCTGGGCCCCCTGCGCGCCAGCGCACAGCCATTTCTCGTCAGGAGACTGCCGCCAGATATTTTGAAAGTGTACAGTCACTGCCTGACCGTACCTCTGCTGCGACTATCAAAGCATCCAGACTGCCTCGGCGCATGGCGAATGTTGCAATATCTCCCCAGGCTCACATTACGGGCAGGCTTGGACACAGCCCCGGGAAACAGATGGCAGGCGGTCGATGTTAACAGGAATGGGGTGTTGGCCCCGCCCTCGCTTGGGCAACGCCGACGACTTGGTCGGATGTACGGGAGTAGCAGCCGACCGTTCACAGTGGGAGAGCTGCTCAACAAGCTTCGTCGAGCTGCAGGGAACCGCTGTGGTGTTGCTGTCGACCAGGGAGCTCGACAGCTGCAACTGACTGGTCTGGGCGACGGGTGGGACGTCGACCAGGACCTGCCGCTCGACCGGGAGGTCTCCGGGGACTCTCGTCGACCCGCTGTTCGACCGAGAGGTCTCCGGAGCATCCCGTCGACCTGCCGTTCGACCGGGAGGTCTCCGGAGCATCCCGTCGACCTGCCGCTCGACCGGGAGGTCAACGGAGCAGTCGGAAGGGGTCCGTCGACCAGGGGGTAGCTCGACGGGAGTTGTGGTCGACCAGAGGGACCTGGTGGTCGACCAGAAGCAGTGGTGGTCGGCCGGAAGCACCTGGTGGTCGACCGGGTCGACCGGGTAACCTGCTCGACGAGTTCTGCGGAGGCACGCGAACGTCGTCGAGGTTGCGATGGCGCAGGCGACTGCGGGCTGGTATCCCAGAGTCGATGTGGCTCATCAGGCGCAGACAACTGCCGACGGATGCCCAACGAGGCAAGTCGGGCCAATCGTCTGCGCGCACCTGCGAGCGTGCACACTGCTATGTTCTACGGGGCAACGCTGGACAGCCGCTCTGCTGCAGCGTTGGCACGCCGTCGACCTGCTCTATTGGCAGGTCGCCTTTCCGCAGTGCTGGCGCGGCTCCTCTACGCAACGCTGGCAGGCGGTCGACCGAGCTGTGCTGGCGGTCGACCAGGCTAGCTGCAGGGTTGCTAGGTGCCTGATGTAGTCATTCTGTCATTGGTTGTTCAATCATCCTGTAATTCCAACTTTGCTAGTGGAAACTCTTGCCGATTTCTCCCGTGAATGTGCAAGCACTAAGGAACTAAGCAAAGCTACGATCACCTCTAGTAGTTCGTGCCAACCCCCGTAGTCTAGCTCACTACCGTTGTAGAGTGACTCTCCGCAGTCGAGGCCCGCCTTCGTCAGTTCCGAGAAGAGGAGTGGGATGCACTGTACACCCAGGCCAGCACCTTCCCCCCAAACTCGAAACCTGACCGTCACGAACCGGACCCCGAAGGAATCTGTGCCAGAGCAGAAGGGCTGGTACGGAAGGCTAACTTTGCGAAAGCAACAGCGGCATTACACAGCTCGCCTCTGGCCGAACCCTCGCAAACAACACTGGGAGCCCTCATCTCGAAACACCATGCCCAGGAATTGGCGACGCCGGAAGGTATCACTGGTTACGCGACTTCCGAGCTCGCAATCAGTGCTGAGTCGTTTCGCGAAGTGTTGGCGAAATGTCCAAACAGGGTGGGAGCAGGGCCCTCAGGGACATGCTTCGAGCACCTACGAGACCCTGCCTTAACCAACTGGGAGGTCTTCGCGCTCCTCCACAAATTAGTCAATCGGCTGCTAAGCACCTACCAGAACGAGGCGGTACAGGAGCTGCTGCTGCCATCCCGGTTAATCGCCTTAGAGAAGCCAGACGGAGGCGTCCGACCGATCGCGATAGGGGAGGCGCTACTCAGGGTGACGGGCAAGGCTGCGCTAAGTAAGTTGGCGGGGGAAATCCGGTAATACTTCCTACCCGTCCAATTCGGAGTGGCGGTGCCCGGGGGAGCGGAGTGCATCATCCACGCCACAAGGGCGCTTGTAGCGGAGGAGCCAACGAGGGTGATCCTGCAGCTAGATGTGTTAAGAATGAGAAGTGGTTGCACTAGAAACAAGTGAGAGTACAAATATGCAAACCTAGAGTTGTGAACCCCCTATAGGCTAACCCACTGTAGCCTACAATAATATAACCCATATAACATTTGACACACCCCCATAGGCAAAGTGGGGGAGAACAAGGGGTCACAAGACCGGTCAAAGCAAAGCAAAGCAAAGCAAGCTCAGGGTGGATCTCAAGGATACCACACAAATTCCGAGCACAAGCAAGTGGTCACAAGACCAGTTCACATGCAGTTTGATAATAGAACAACCTAGCAAGTGTAAGCATGCAGGTATATATATATAGAGATCACAGTACAAACAGAGTCAAGAAGTGAGCAAGTGAGGGAGAGTAGGCACAAGGCCTAGAACAGTACAGAAACGCTGATGATCACAAGGCTGAAGCGCCTTGGTGAACACATCAGCAGTGTTGGCCCGAGTGGCCACGTACGAGAGACGAAGCTGACCACGCTGCTGCAGCTCTCGAGCAAGGAAGTAGCGCAGAGCGATGTGCTTCGTTCTGTGCTCCAGTCTGTGCTCCTGAAACAAGGCAATGGCTGCCTTGTTGTCGACGTACAGCACTGGAGGAGAACGAGGCCGCTCTCCGAGGTCGGTCAGCAGGTAGATGAGCCAGCGTAGCTCCTGGGCAGCCATGGCTGTGGCGTAGATCTCAGCCTCACAACTGGAGCTGAGAACAGAAGACGAGCGTGTAGAACGCCAAGAAACTGAACCAGAGCCAAGGCTGAAGGTGTAACCCTGAGACGACCGCTGAGTAGCCTGGTCGTCAGCCCAAGAAGCGTCTGAGTGCCCAGTGAGTACAACTCGGTCTCGTCCTCCAAGCACTAGCCCCATGCCCGACGTACTGCACAAGTAGTGCAACACCCTCTTAGCGGCATCCATGTGCTCCTTCCGGTGACGGCCAGGAGCGACATAGCGTGCTAGGATGCTAAGAGGGTATGCAAGGTCAGGTCGAGTGCAGGTCATCAGGTACATGAGGCAGCCCACAAGCTCTGGATACGGGCCACTCGGCTCTACGGACTCATCCGAAGGCAGAGCTGAGAGCGAGTGACCGGTAGGCAGAGGAGTGGGCTGAGGCGAGGAGTACGTGAAGCGGAAGCACTGAAGGACCTGCTGCACCATGTGTGACTGAGTCAAGGTGATGGTGCGCTGTGCTCTGTCCCGGGTGATCCGCAAGCCAAGATAGCTTGTCAGCTCACCCAGGTCTGTGCACGTGTGTCTCTTCTGCAGCTCCGACTTCACGTGGGCGAGTGCCTTAGTGTCAGGAGTAGCAAAGACCAAGTCGTCGACGTACACGAGAACGTAGAACGGCGGCAAAGTGGTGTCGGTGCGTAGAAACAGCGACGGGTCAGCAGTAGAAGGAGCAAACCCAAGAGCCGCAAGCGTAGTCCTCAGTGTGTCGTGCCACTCACGGGGTGCCTGGCGGAGACCGTAGACTGGCCGCCGGAGGCTCCATTGGGTACCAGGAGGGAACGACCCAGTGAAGCCAGGTGGGCGGCGCAGCCAGATCTCCTCGTGCAGGCTGCCCTGTAGGAACGCAGTGCTGAAGTCAAGAGAGTGGAGCTCATAGTCACGCTGAGCAGCGACGTGCAGCAGAACCTGAAGAGTGGTCATCTTCGGGGTCGGGGAGAAGGTCTGGAAGAAGTCAACTCCCTCTCGCTGACTGAAGCCTCGTGCAACGTAACGCGCCTTGAAGACAGGCGGAGAACCCGGCGGCCGCTTCACCCTGAAAATCCCCCCTGTCCATCACGCCTCCCACCCTCCCCCACTTCCACCCCCACCCCCGAAGCACGCACGCCCCTCCACCATAGAATGGGGTGCGCCACTCGTCCGCCCTTCCCCCACTACCCACCTGCGCCCACTACCCACCTGCGCCCACTACCCACCTGCGCCCACTACCCACCTGCGCCCACCACTGCATCCACCCACACCATCACATCATCCACCATGCAACCTCTTCTGCGCCCACCATGCAACCTCTTCTGCGCCCACCATGCAACCTCTTCTGCGCCCACCATGCAACCTCTTCTGCGCCCACCATGCAACCTCTGGAATAAAAGTCAGAAGTAAATCTGGAAAAAAAAGGGAGGCACCGAATGAAGGAGAGGCAAGGAAGGAAGAGGGGAGAGAAGAAAACAATTATCAGAGTGCTGAGAAAATGGAAAGGAAAGCAAGGTAGATGAGGAGAAAATCATAAAACAAAACGTAATAAAAAGCTAATGGTGGTAAGGTAACAAACTGCTGATGGTGAATCAAAAGAAGAGCAAGGAAAAAAACAGCAAACTCATGTAGACACACGTACAAAGCTTCACAACCATGTTACTGTTACTACACACATACAAACAGATCCACAATTTCTTAGTTAGTGATAACTCATTTACATACTTAGAAATAGAAGTAACACTATCATGGTGTAACTGAACCCATGAACGAATTGTGACTACTTAAACCATGAGGTCGCGAAACCTCATGCTTATTGATTCATGGTATCCCGTGTCGTATCCAATCTCACGCTTGCATGTACTGACAGCCACGTACCTTCCACATACTCATGAATATTGTTACTCTTAAAACGTGCTTAGCTAGCTACTAACAAGCTTTAGGTGGCACTAGAACTCTCTCCTCGGGGTCACCTCCGAGGGTCCTTGGGTGCCTGACTTAGGTCAGCCCCTATCCAAGGGTCCGAGTGTGTAGAGAGAGAGTTGTAGCAACAGCTAAAGTGTAGTAGCAATCGTCGCTTCCTTGGCGTTGTCAAGAGAATTAACTATAGCAGCGTACTTGCAGCAGGCACAGGAGAAATCCTTCACTCAAGTTATGTCTTGGAACAACAAGAACAACCTGATTTAACCTAAGCTACACCATTCTACTCCTACCTTGATATTTCTGTTCCAAATTCACACGTCGTAGCGCGAGCAGAATTTCAGGTTCCCTCCCATTCCCTTCGTGACCTGGCGCGCACTCGATGCGTCGCCGAAATATTTCATCTTTTGCGCGCGAACATTGTTGACGGTGCCGATCCGATAATTTCACTTCGCGCCAATCTCAAACGGTTGCGATGAAGTCCGTTCAAAACCTGAAACGTCGGTGGTGTTCAGCATTGCATTCGATCGCTCAACT